TCTGTTCACTTCTCACTCCTCCCTCACTCAATCACTCACTCACCCACTCACTCACTAACTCACTCACTTACTCACTCACTCCTCCTTCGCCTCCCCCCCCGCCCCCCGACAAGGCGGCCGAGAGGATAAAATACATCTCGATGAAGAGGCAGCCGAAGGGCACGAGCCCTGGGGGGGCGCCGGGGCGAGTGGGCCCTGGAGGGCAGCCGGGCGGCCCGTCGGGGGGCGAGGGAGAGAGGGGGCAGGAAAGAAGAGAAGAGGAGGGAGGAGGAGGAGGAGGAGGAGGAGGAGAAGGAGGAGCAGGAGGAGGAGGAACAAGGAGGAGGAGGAGGGAGGAGGAAGGACGAGGAGGAGGAGGAGGAGGAGGAGGAAGCGGAACACGAGGAGGAGGAGGAGGACGAGCAGAAGGAAAGAGGAGGAGAAGGAGAGAGGAGAAGGAGGAGAAGAAGAAGAAGGAGGAGTGGGAGAAGGATAGAGGAGGAGAATGAGAGAGGAGGAGGAGAGAGAAGAGAAAGGAGGCAAAAGGAGGAGGAGAGAGGAGGAGGAGGAGGAGGAGGAGGACGATAAGGAGGAGGAGGAGGAGGAGGAAGAGGAGGAGAAGAGAGAGGAGGGGTGATGATGATGATGATGATGACGACGACGAAGACGACGACGACGGACGACGACGACGACGATGATGATGATGATGATGATGATGATGAGGGAGGAGGAGGAGGAGGAGGAGGAGAAGCATAAGGAGGGGGAGAAGGAGGGAGGAGGAGGAGAAGGAGAGAGGAGGAGAAGGAGAGAGGAGGAGGAGGAGGAGGAGGAGGAGGAGGAGGAGGAGGAGGAGGAACAGAGAGGTGGGGAGATGAGGCGGAGGAAGAGAAGGAGGACGAGAAGGAGCAGAAGGAAGAGGAGAAGGACAGAGGAGGAGGAGAGAGGAGAGAGGAAGAGAAAGAGAAGAGGAAAAGGAGGAAGAGGAAAAGGAGGAGGAGAGAGGAGGAGGAGAGAAAAAAAGAAGAAGGAGGAAGAGGAAGAGGAAGAGGAGGAGAGGAAGGATGAGGAGAAAGAGAGAGGAGGAGCAGAAGGAGAAGAAGGAGGGACGAGGCAGGGGGCTGAGTTTATGCGCCCACCCTGAACGGCCTGCGGTCACGATCATGGCCGGCGTGAACAGCCAGTGCTTCGCGGGGATCGGCCTGCTGGAGAAGACCACCAACAAAAGCTACCTTGATTGCATGCCTGGCTATTCTGCACTGTCGCCCCGAAACAACCTCGAGAGCTGACTGCCCGCAGGCACCGCAGAGATGATGAAGAAACTGGGGGGGAAGACAGGCACCGTGCGAATTACCACGAAGAACATGATATGAGGAAAGAAACCCGTCGTCGTTGACCACACAAACGCTTGGGGGCACGAGGGGCGTCAGGAGCGGCGAACATGTTCATATTCACGCTTCGCGGTCTGGACTCTGGAGCGCGATCCCGTAGACACGCGGTCACACGGATACGTTCCGCGCGGGGCACCCGCGAGCAAACGCCCCGCACCCATTGGGTCGTCGCCCAAGGACCCAGCCCGCGAGACCGCGGATATGGATATGTTCCCCGACAACGGGTGCGCTGGAGGAACAATCGTGGAAGGACCTCCGGGACAACGAGCCCACTCCGAATGCGAATTGTTCCTTTGACGAACCAACAACACACACCCATACCCATAGAGGGCCGGAAGGGGCTATGGGTACGTGTTGTCGGATGGGGGTCCCCGCTCGAACGGGAGCGTTCCCCAGGGTCCGACAACCCGCACCCATACCCATAGCCTGTCCTCCTCCCAACGACCCCCCTATGGGTATGGGTGTGTGTTGCTCGTTCGTGATCCTTACCTGGGCGTCTTGACCGCACGCGCAAGCAGCACCAGGAGGGAGAGGAGGCGGGAGGAGAGGGGGCGGCCCCGTCCTGACTGAGTGGGAGCGACAGGGGGGGACTGGCTCAGGGGGGGAACATCGAGCTGAAATCGGCGGTACATCGCCGACAAATCCGCGATAGGCCCCCAACCGCGAATCCGCACTCCAGGGCGGGGTGGGCTAGCGGGCCCGCTGTCGGAGATGGATGGACGATTGGGGGTCGAAGCACTCCGCGCTGCCCCGATGACATCGAAGCTCGGAGCAATGTGTCCCATGCGGCGCAGGCGAAGGCGGCGGGGCAACCCGCACAGGTACGTCGCGTGAGTGGCGGGGGCAGCGGCGATGGCGGCGAGCACGGCGAGGAGGCCGACGCCCCTGTCGACGCGATGAGTTGTTTCACCACAGGCGGTCGTGCCCCGCTGCGGGCAGGCAAAAAAATAAACCCTCCATCCGCCCGAACGTCGGGAGGGCTTGTGCCAGAAAACGGCGTCGGGAAGGGAGGTAGGTGGATGTGGCAGCAGTGATCTTCAACAGCCCCGAAGCGCGGCACGGCGCCAGACGGGCAGCACGAGAGCGACGACCACGGCTGGCACGGAGCCCGCGGCGCCCACGCTGGCCCGAGGGCGGAAGGGTCAAGGCGTCGTCCGCCGCGGCTTCGCGCCGCGAGCGGGCTAGAAGGCGCGAGGCGCGCGCGCGGCTGGAGCGACGAAGAGAAGACTGGTCTGACGCAACAAAGCATGCCTCTTGTGGGGGGTCGAATACCAAATTGCTATTCACCCTATCTGTTGTTTCTCCGAAATCTTTTCAAAACATACGCAGGCTTTTGTCGTAGAGCTACGAACAGTGTGCGCACTCGTCGTAGGTTCGACAAGAGAATTAAGCCTGGGGTAAATCCATTATGTACTCGATCCCCTATTCGAGCGATTAGCGACCTTCCGTCGCGGCTCACGTGGGCCGCCAGCGTGGCACACCGCGCGGAGAGGAGGACGCTCACGCGCGGCCTTCCGCGGGCACGAGAGGCGACGAAAACGGTGGACTTGCGCCGGGGGGGGAGGACATCGACCTGGAATCGGCGATATATCGCACATAGATCGGCGATAGGCCACCGACAGCAAATCCGAGAGCTCCTGGGCGGGGTAGGCTATCGGGAACCTATCGGCGATCAATGGTCGATCGGGGGTCGAGGCATTCCACCTCTGAGCATATCCCTCCCTATCGTTGCCCCTGAAACTCACGCGCGAGTGTCCGCGCAATCGACTCCGTTCTCTCCCGTCTCTCAATTGAGCGATCAGAAGAAGCAGGTTTTACGCGACATGGCACAGCGACATCACGTGGTGGCTTACGTTGGCCGCCAGCGCGGCACGCCACACTGGAAACAAGGGCGTTTACGCGCGACCTCACGCGGGCAGTTTACACGCCAATGTCGGCGCAGTGGAAGCATTTCTTCTATTCTGGGATTCGACACTTGGCCGAAGGGAGGGGGCGAAGGGGGGTTCTGGGTCTGGGCTGGTGCCTACTTGATCTGCTTGCACCAGTCGCGTAAGCAGACTGGGCATGGGGGGCTCTGACCAGTCTCGAGACCTCCTAGATGGGGTCCGCGTAGATGGGGTCGAAGGATCGCGACGCAACGCCAATGCATCGGCGATGCACCGGTAACGTCGGTAATGCACCGGCGACGGCGGCGTGGAGAAACTCAGGCTCCACATCGAGCCGCATCGCCGATGCATCAACGATGCGCCGCGATCCTCCGACCCCATGTGTTCCGACTCTATCTAGGAGGCCTAGACAGTCGCCCAAAGCAGACGCCAAAAGCAGCCAAGTTCCAGCCTAGGAAGGAGAGGGGCGGGGGCCCGTGCCGATCGGAAAAACAAAACATAAAAAAGCAACGGCCCGTCGGTCGGAAGAAGTGGGTGGAAACGCGAAATCGGACAGAGAAGCCAGGCGCCAAGACGGCGCATCGGCAACAGAGCTCGGCTGAACCAACAGAAAGTTATCAAGGAGCCCCTTCGAAAACCACTCAAACAGTGCATGGTGCCATGGACTGTGGGCGACTATCGTCAAGCGTCAAAGGCAGATTGGGTTTCCATCCGCCCCATCAAAATAGAACCGAAAAGGTGAAAGGCCACTCAATGATTGGAGTGGGAAGGCACATTGGGATCTGGGAATCCACAAATACTTACGGGGGTGCGGAAGGCCAGCCGGGACGCTCCTGATACTCCCTCCGCTTTTCGCTCTCCGCTCTCCACCTTCTTCTCCTCCTCCTCCTCCTCCTCCTCCTCCTCCTCCTCCTCTCCTCCCCCTCCTCTTCCTGCTCCTCCTCCTTTTCCTCCCTTCCTCCTCCTCTTCCTCCTGTTCCTCCTCCTCCTATTGTTATGATGAGTGGTATTGAAGAGTACTAAGAATAGTAAAAGTGATGACAATAATATAAATACGAATAAAAATTAATAATGTGTATACTACTACGACTAGTATTGTGGTTAGTACTAGCGTTAGAAATATGAGTATGTTTTAGCATACGCATTATTGGCGTTATCAGTTGTTCCTGGCGAAGTGTCTTAATAGTATTACTCTTAATAGTATGACTCTTAAATGGGTTACTCTTCTGGCGAGTTGTTATCAGTTGTATTACTCTAAATAGTATTACTCTGTGCCTTCTCAACATGTGTAGCAGGAGTATTGATGGTACTAGTAGCGTTAGTTTGTTTTGTTTTCGTATTATTGTTCGTACTACCCGTGTTCTGCTTAAGTGTCGTACCATCACTTGTATGATGATTTGTAATACGGTTATCAAAACAATTACTCCTGGTGCCCTCACCATTACCTCTTATTAATATGATTAATCGGCCTTATTATTACTCGTCGTAGTATTACTGATTATATCGTTACTAGTCTGGTGATTTATATTATTATGGTTCGTGTATTACTTGTTTCTTATTCCTACTATTTTCATTGTAGCATTATATTGATTATTCGCGTTCTTCGTATGATCACTGGTAGTAATACCCGTAGTATCATCATGCTTTCATATGGTTTCGAAATTCCGTTCTATATTCCCCAATCAGGGCTTGCCTCTGATGGGGTCCTAGCGGATTCACATGGTTAGATCAGGTTTGCCGCCGATTTTCACCGCACGCCTGGGTGCCCGGGTGCCCGGGTGCCCGGGTGCCCAGTAGCTCTATATAGCCCTATAGCCCTATAGTCCTGTAGCCCTATACCCCTATAGCACTATAGCCTTATAGCCCTATAGCCCTATAGCCCTATAGCCCTATAGCCCTATAGCCCCATAACTCTATAGCCCAATAGCCCAATAGCCCTATGGCCCTGTAGCCCTGTAGCCCTATAGCCCCATAGCCTTCTAGCCCTATGGCCGTATAGCCCCATAACCCTCAAGCCCTAAAAAGATTATGATTGGGGCTTTTCTCCGGTATCATGTTTTCGCATGCCTCTGCTATGCCTTGATAATACATTGTTTGTGGTTTAGGATCATTAGTATTCAGCGTATGACTATCAATATGTGTCGTCCCACTGAATTTGGAAAAAATATCATATTATCAGTACCAATGTTATTCCTACGAACTACGTATTATCCATTTGCATATTATTAGTATCATTATGACTAGTCGTAGTACAATTTTCTTATGGGTATTATTTTTATTCGTAATATGATGTTGGTTATTATCATTCGTGTTAACATGAATCGCACTATTCAGATTCAACTGTTTCTTTGTGTTATGTTCATGTTTCTTACTATATCTGTGTTTCTGCTTCGCCTTATTACTATTAGTATTCGTCCTCTTCTTCTTCTCCATATTCTGCCTATTCTTCCTCCTCCTGCTCCTCCTCCTCCTCCTCTTCCTCCTCATCCTCCCATTACTTTCGACGATCGATGGGTATTTTTTGGAGCGTCGTTTCGCCGTCCCGCGCCGCCCCCTGGAGCGGCCCCTGGCCGCGGAGCCCAGAAAACGCGGGGCGCGGCACTCCCCGCGCAACCCCGCGGGGCGCTGGCCGAGCCTCCGCCGCCGGCGGCGGCGGGCACCCGGGAAAAAAAAAACACCGGCTACACGCAGGAGCGACGTCGGGCAAGGCGGGACGCAGGAGGACACGCTACGGCGAAGGCACTTTGCCGGCACAACCATAAAAAACCGCGCGCTGCGCCGTGGCGACTCGCACGCGCCGCTCGGCCTCCGCCCGGTCGGAAGGAAACGCGCCGCTCGGCCTCCGCCCGCAACGAAGGCATTTTTGCTGTCGACACATGTGCGAAGCAACTCGAATTCGGAAAAAGAGAAAGAAAGAGAGAGAGAGAGAGAGGGAGAGAGAGAGAGAGGGGGAATAAAAAAGAGAACAAGAAAGAGAGAGAGAGAGATATAGAGAAAATCACGCAAACATGAGCCCCTGAGAGCGCCATAGGCTGCTCAGGGCCGCAGGCGGCCTGCGCCCCCAGCATACTGGTCGGCGAAAGTATTCTATCCCCGCCGGTCTGCGAAAGCAAGCTTACGTGCACACGCGACAACAACGAACGAAAAGAGGAAGCAGAAAAACAAAAGATAGGAAGCGAATTCCCGCGCGGTTGACCTCAGCACCCCCAAATTCGGACCCCTCAAAGCTCCCAGGCGCCGACCGTGAAGCGGGTCCTTCGCGAGGTCGACCACCCCAAGCCAGTCACCCCTACGCCTTACGCATTACGCCCACGCCTTACGCGTTGCGGCCATCGCGCCGCCACGGTGCCCTGCGGCACGGCCTCGCGGGCGCCGCCACACCGCGAGCAGGGCAGACCCCCCCTTCCTGGAGCGGGGCCGAGGGCCGCGGCGTGCCACCGCGACAATCCGCCCCGCGGCGCTGCGGCGGCGGCAGGCACACGGCGCCCAGCAGCCGCCCGTGCCGAACGCGAAGGTGCCGA